CTCCTTCAGAGGAGTCATAGGAGTCCTGGTGGCCTCCCTCTCTAGTCTCCTTCTTGCTCGGTCACTCAGTCTCTGAGGACGTCCTGCTCTAGTCAGATCTCCTCATGGTCCATAGTCCTTCCATGTCTTAATGATGGGTTTAACTGGACTCCAGAGATGTTCAGGACTTTGAGTGGGCCGTCTGTGGAACTTCAGACTGATCAATAGTCACCTAATCGTGTTTCTTCTGCTGCCAAAAGTCAACCTGTTTCTTGATCCTGTCTAATCTGACAGACTGCATTAGATTGTCTCATTCTGTCTGACTCGTTAACCTCATGTCCTGACTTCACATCTGTTCTCTGTGTGTGTGTGTGTGTGTGTGTGTGTGTGTGTGTGTGTGTGTGTGTGTGTGTGTCAGTCTGATGGAGGAAGTGAAGCGTCCTCAGGTGAAAAGGACTCTGGGAGTTCTGCAGGTCGCCAAGTCCCGGATGCTTCGAGCCTGGAGAGAGCTGGTGAGCTTCCCAACAGCGGCGGTTTAAGCGACTGTTTAGACTCGTAGTTGAGCTTCGTTTGGAGACGTGACAGTGTGATGACTGGCTGCCTTGTTGACTGTCAGGATGCGGACATCACTGTGGTGGCCAACGAGGCGAAGGACAACGTGAGGTATCTGTCCACCCTGGACAGGTTCTTCGGACCGCTGGGGAAATGCACTCTGGTAAAAACCCGCTGTTCGACTTCCTGTTGGTTGTGCTTTCACCACACGCTCACGTTTCACGGCAGCTCTTCTCACCACGTGCAGCCGTAAAGGGCCGACTCTGCTGTGGAAGCACCTGAGTCGTTGTTTGACTTTGTGGACTTTGTGCATCTGAATATTTCTGTGACTTTTTCTAAAAATGTCAGTGAAAAGGCAAACTGGATAAATCTTAAAAAGTACCGAGCTAATTTAAATATTAATGTTAAGACCCTGCAATTACATCAAATATGCAGATTAACCAAGTAAATTAAATGTTAGTGTGAACGCTCCACAATACATTCATTTTTATGGATTTCATTAATTTTCTTGTGTTTTCTATTTTATTTCTACAATTTAAATATTAGAGTTAAGGTCCTACAGTTTATATATTCTGAAAGATATATCATGTCTATTTAGAAATCGTAGCTGACTCATTGAAAGACTTCAGTTAAAACTCCACCACATCATTAGTTATGCAGATTTACCTCAATAAAGCAAACACCAGGCCTGATACTTTACAGCTTAAAATATTTTTATTTTATTTCAGGGAATACGTTCTTTTTTTACATGACTAATTTAAATGTCAACATTTACACACAAACTGTTTGATCACAGAATCAGTAATTATATAAGAATATACACAAAGAAAGAAAAAGCAGGAGAACAAAAAGAACACAAAGATTTCCATATGAACAGTTTTGCGAATTATTTCTTCTCCCGTTGCCAGAAGAAACACAAAATAGTCATAAAATAAAGTAAAATAATAATATTGTGATATTATAGAACCAACAATGTTCTCTGCAACTTTACGTCCTACATTTAAATGTTAAGTTCGGGGCGCTACAATGTCGTTAATTACGCAGCTTGTAATACTTCACAATATAATATATTTAAATATATATATTAACACGTACTCTAAACCACTGTGCAAATGAGATGGTTAAAACGTGCAGCTGGCTGCATAAAGGTCATAGTCTGCATAACAGATGGACGTAGCAACCGGCCCTGAAACATGAAGCCAACCTGAAGTGTCAGAAACCTGCAGCATCACTACGTCCACTAGCTGCTGGCTCCACAAAGCCCTGGCTCCCATAGACTGGAACTGGAAAAGAAGTGATCACAGATCACCAAATACTGCATTCCTCCAGCTCAGGATTGTTTACATATAAGAGTTTTCATGGTCAGATCCAGAGATCAGGTGGCCAATCTGAAAATAAATCAATACTGAATTTTTAAAACATCGTCAACATTTTGCGGGTCAAGGGGCGTGGCTGGCTTGATTGACAGTCGGCAGCGACCATACAGATGAAGCCAGCAGAAGGCGGTAAATGTGGGCGGGGCAGAGAGGGCCCGCCTCTCAATCCATCTGACCAATCGCTGCTCCTATGGCTCCGCCCCCCCTCCCACGATTTTTGTGTCACTGGCTCCTAAAATCCATGATGTCAACCAGGAAGTAGCAAAACCCTGGCTTCATGTTCTCAGTGCAGAAACCAACGGGTGACGTCACGGCAGCTACGTCCATCTGTTATACAGTCTGTGGTAAAGGCAGGGCCCCTGCATCAGTAACGGTGGTGGGCAGTGTGAGGTCGGCGCTGGTCTAACTGGTTGGAGGCTCTCCTGCTCTCACAGACCAGCACGCTGCAGCACGTTCCCAGTCTGATGAGCAGCATCCGGATGATCCACAGCGTCTCGCAGCACTACAACACCTCAGACAGGATGACCGCCCTGCTGCTCAGCGTCTCCAACCACATGATCGCCACCTGCAGGAGCCACCTGTCGCAGGGCGTGAGCCGCCTCTGGGACCTGAGCAGGTACGGGACCGGACCGGACTGCACCGGCGGTGCCACACAGGTCCAGACTGTTCACCATGCCCAGAGCTGGTGCTGGAGGCAGCAAGCAGGGTTAAAGAGACGTAAATCAAAGAAACATCTGGTCAAGAACTCACACGGATCAGAACAGGTGGACACAAAGGTCCAGGCAAGAAGGCAGGTTTATTCCCGGTCAGGTTCGGTACACAGGAGGTCAGTCCGACGGGCGGAGGGGTCCAAAGAGGCGGAGGTCAAAAACAGAAACGAGGTCGTAACAAACAGACTACGGCGATGAGAAAACGCTGGGACGAGGACCGTGAAGTCCAGCAAGACTGTGAGACACACAGGGTGACATGAGGGAGGATGGGAACCAGGTGAGGGCGGGCCATCAGGGAGCAGGTGTGACGAGACGGGGGCAGGAAGTACATCTACGACAGGTTAGTGCTTTCAAAATAAAACAGGAAAGACATAAAGTGTACACACATAAAACAGAAACTTGACGGACATGAAACATCTGGTCCGCTTTCAGTTTATTTTAAACCATCAGTGAATCCAAGCAGACCCACTGTGAGGGTTCTAAAGAGTTCTAAGTCGTTGACAGCAAGAGCGTGAGCCTTCACCTGTGGAGAGCAGCGCCTGAAGCTCCGCCTTCAGGAAACAAGGTCCCAGTCATTCGTGTGCAGAGAGCTTGGTGTCAGCGCCTCTTGTGGTTTTTGCGACTCCTGCAGCACAAAGAGCTCCTTTAAATGTTCCCTGTTTGAGCTTCATTGGGTTTTCTGCAGACTTCATTTGAAATGTGTTAGATTTCAGGCTCAGCTTTCTTCTGTTTCTTCTCTACACTCATCCATCAGACGTCCACCGAACCAGACCCCGTTCAAAACATCACAAAGGTTAGACTTCAGTTTATTCAGAAACAGAACCTCCAGTCCGCGTGCCTCACCGGTCTTTATGAACTCCGGGACGTTGTAGGGGAGCAGGATGGGAGCAGGAATGATCTGAGATGAGGGATGGTGTAGGACGGCAGGCCGGCCTCCTGCCAGCTGCTGCTGGCCGGATGCTGCTCCACCTGTTGGAAACCAACCAGCGTGTGTCTGTGTGCAGGCCGGTGCTGCTGCAGAGAATCTCCGACTGCTGCCACCTGAAGGTGGCGTATCAGAGGAGCTTCCAGAGCGTCCGAGATCAACTGAGAGAGAAGCCTGAGCAGCGACAGTTTGACTTCAGGTAGCCGGTGCTCCGATCCTCAGGGTCCTGCAGCAGGTCGGCGTCGCCTCAACCTCCTCTCTCTGCTCTTCTTCTCAGTGAGAACTACATCTTTGGGCGGTTTGAGGCTTTCTGCAGGCGTCTGGAGAAGATCGCTGACATGGCGTCCACCCTGGAGAGCCTGGCTGCTCTGCAGAACATGAAGGTGGCCACACAGCGTTTCACCATTTCACCCGTCTTTCACCCTCAAACTCACAAATCACATTATCAACAGCACGACAGCCTGACCACACACAGAACCTTTGACCTGAAGCTTTCACACAGTCCCTGAACTGCTCGTCTGTGATGAGCTTCAGAATCCAGAGCTCAGGAAACTTCATCCAGATGACTTCATCCCACACGTCTCGCTGTGTCACAAACACTAGACATGTTCTTTAAAACCAGAACCATCCTCCTCCTGGTTCTGACTCAGCAGAGACCAGCAGGAACCATCCAGAGAGCTTCAGGTGAACTGCAGCCAGAGTTTCCTCAGAGAGACTGAAGGAGAACCCATCCTACTGGATCAATGAATAGATGCAGCACGGATCAGAACCAGAGACCAGAGGAGCCAGTTGGTGGAGATACATTCATCTGATGGTGGAACATCTTTCTACATCTGATGG